CTTGGTTAGGTATCAAGAGTGAAATAACTTAAAAGAATATCAAGGATAGGGGAATGGAATTCTTAACAGGTTTAGATTTAGTTTTAACTTGGGTGAGTCCGAGTCAGAAAGAGGGTTCAGAGGAACGTGAGGAAAGTGTGGTTGAGGGACTCTGTACCATAACCTTCCTCAACCCAGGCAAGGCAGTTATCTTACCATGCCAGCCTACACCAAAGGGTTGGGAGGAAGAACTTTGAAATGAATTTGAAGTTTAAAACAGCTTTGAGTTTGAACTGAAATGAGATGATTCTAATGATGCAAAGTTATAGAACTAGACTTTGATGCTACCTGGAGCCCATTACCCAGAGGGAAGAGGAGGACTGGTCATAGCACAGCAGGTTAGTGGCATCTTTGAACACAGTAGTTACTCAGAAGATGTGATTACCGGAAGTCCTGAGCACAGCCCAACCAGACTCCCCAGAAAAATCTTCCCCTGTGTAGTAGGCAGAACAGTTGACCCGACGATGTCCAATAATATTGGATGCCGAGGTGAAAGAAACAAATTTCAAGAATTCTAAGACTATACCTCCTTGCTGGAGGAAGCCCATCACTGGAGGAGGGCTTTAAGAGTTCGTAGCCTCACCCACTTGTAGTTTGCTCTCTCTGCTTCATGTTTACTGTTGAACTGTGAACTCAACCTCCTGCTCAACCATCATGCCCGTTGCTTGCTGCCATACCTCTCCTCATGGCCTCATCCCCCTGGAACCATGAGCCCAAACAAACTTTGTCTTTTGTAAACTGCCTTGATCATGATATTTTATCACAGCAACAACAGAAAGGTAACTAATATACTGATCCAGTTGAATGACATCCATGTCTTGTACAGCACTTTCCACACAGACAGAAAATAGCCTCTACGAGGCTGTGGCCCTAAGCAACTTCCCAGCTTCCAAGAAGAAGGGTTAAATCCAGGAAGCAGCCAAACCATGAGGTGCAGACAAGCATGGGATGTTTATGTGAAAGATGCAGCTTCACTCTGAAACCACCATTCCAGAGAAAGCACTGTTTAGCATGGGCTTTAGCCCCCAGCCCAGGCGGTTACACATGTGTGTGGACAGTGCTCCACGAAGGACAGGAAAACCAAAGGATAACATGATGCAGTCTACCTCCTGCTCTCCTGTGCACCCAGAGCTTCTAGCCATCTGGAACTTCATGTTGAGATCAGCTTATCAGATTCAAAATGAAATGTGATTCTGATTCCTCAAGTGGGATGGAAAGTATAACATCAGACTAAATGGGTTGTTTGGATAACTAGATGAGATTATAATCAGTTCTGCTCCTAGGCTTTTTCTTAAAATGGAAATTTGGTACCATGCAAATGCTATGATTGGGAGCAATTTAAGTCTAATGCAAATTGTATTTTGCTTACACAGTTCATCCATGAAAAATATAAGGTGAATGTAGCAAGCCACTGCATGAAGAGTTAATGCATCTTGCGACTTGATGGCATATTGGCATACTTCCAGAGTTAATGTTCAATGAGAGGACAAAAGAGCTCTGTGCTGCAAGCAGTGTACCCAGAAGGCAAAGCTCGGGGGGAACGTGTGCTCTTCAGTTCCTGAAAACACTCTGGTGGGCTAAAGCTATTCTAAGAAGCAGACATTTCTGATACATAAGTTTAGTTTCAAGATGGCTTTGTCTGATAACATCTATACATTGTATTCCTTAACTTGTTATTGTATGTAACTTGTTATTGTGTCTTACGTGTTCTTGGCACAATATTTCCTGTGAGCTTAACTCACTCATTATTTTAGTACTAAATAAAAGATCAGGACTGAGAAGGATCTCATCTGTGAACCATGAGTCTCAGATCCTCCGCTTAAAGCTTCATCTGTGTCTTCCACACTGTCAAATCTCCATCCACTCAACTACTACAGGTGAATGCGGAAAACGGCACCCAGCTCAATCAAGCTGCATAGGACTACATATGAAGTGCATGATACATGCATCTGCCAGCTGCCTCAGTATATTTCGTGTGCTATGGGCCCCATGTGTTCATCAAACTTCAGAAAATGTCACCTCTACCTCTTCATAACTCATAAATGGCAACATTTCCACCACCAGCTTCCACAAGCAAACTTCAGGCCTTTTCCAAGCTAAGTACCTTAGTCATTGTAATATTTATATATTTCTTAATCACTTAATATGTATGACTTGTTACCAGTTTTATTAAGTTTATATGCCTTTATTTTTATGTATCACTGATAATGTATTTGAGTGACATGCACCTAATCCATCTTTCCCATGGTTACATGGGAAAGGCCCATAGTTACACAATTTCATGTGATGTATTTTTAGGGACAAGAATGTCATTATAGCAACTGTTACATATGTAGTTACATATCATCTACCTTTAATAAATTCAGCTGCTACTACTGTGATTATCATTATTACTGAACCTCTGGTGTCATTTTTCAAGCTTTATCTCAATTATGAATTCATTTATCCTCATACTTCCCTGTGGGTTGTACTTCTAATAACAGAAAAGAAAATGCAGATATTGGGGCATTAATTTACCCAAGATCACAAGCCAAGTCCCCAGAAGATACGGACAAATATGTCTATTGCCTTCCAATCTCTCAAAGAAAAATCAATTTACATGTAGGTATTACTTCTAAATCTACATCCAAACAGTCAAGCAAAGTGTATGTATGAGCAGGGCTATTTCAGGGTCAAAGGAAGGGAAGAAGAACGGGCATTCAGTCATGAAAGGACCGTTGGCGAGGTGAACCAGTAGTCTGAAAAGGAAAGTGGGCAAGGGAGAAAACTGTGGGAAGGAGGTAGGTCAGTGAAGAACAGAGGTCTCAAACGCATGCCTACAGAGGCCAAGCAAGACACTCAAGGAGGGAACAGTAAGAAGCAGAGGGAACTACGGAACTCTGAGCTCTTACCCATAGGAGGCTCCAGTGAGCTCAGACCAATTCATGCTTGAGCGGCAGATTCGGCATCTGAGAATTTTTAAGAGAAGCAAACTGAGAATTTTTTTTTTAACCTTTTTGAGACAGGGTCTCCCTGTAGCCCCAGCTGTCCTGAATTCACCATGGAGACCAGGCTGGCCTCAAACTCACAGAGATATGCCTGCCTCTGCCTCCCGAGTGCTGGGATTAAAGGTGTGTGCCACTACACCCGGCACAAACTGAGAATTTTTATGAGAAGTGAAAAGAATTTTTAAGAGAAGCAGAAACTACTTTTAAAAGTTATGGTTAGTCCAGTTCCAGGGGAATCTAACAACCTCTTCTGACCTCTGCAGGCATTGCATGACATGGGTTCACTTACACACATGCAGGCAGTACACTCATACACATAAAATAAAAAATATTTAAAGTTCCCAGGGACTATGAGCATCTCACAAAATGTCCTGTAATGGTGGTGGGTCATCTGACCTCTTGATCAAGGAGGCCAAGGAGACCCCAACAGATGCACTTGAACCAGTGTCTAGTCTACAAAGAGGAGGGTCAACAAAGAGAAATCATTTCCTCCATGCTTCCAAGCAAAGCCAACTATGGTCGAGCAGGACCTTTGACTTACCTTCACATAGGCGGAACTGGTAAAAGAAAGGAGCCAGGGGCTCCTCCCAAGC